TTTGACCACGGATTGATATCATTTAGAGAACCGTTGAAAACCAGGTAATGGAGAACTGGACAGCTGTTTCATCCTAGTTTGGGAATCACCGGCAGTACGAATCCAGGAACTTCCGGTTAGAATTTATGAGCCATTGAATCGGATCCCAGTAGCTGAATGGTATACGAGATTGCTTTGTAGCCGGAAGGTCCTGGGTTCGAACTCACGGTGTGGGTGGGCACTGCCGATGATTCTCAAACTAGGATGAAACAGCTGTCCAGTACTCCCTGGTTTTCAGGTTCTCATTTGTTTTTCGATAACATTCAGAAATCGTAGTGATAGATTATTCAAACCTATCAGGACGGATGTTTTCTACAAACCAACAGAATCACTTCTACTGGGAATTCGTGACCATTGAGGTACAGTAGGTTGGGTGTGAGGACAATTAATCGCCAGCGATGTCATTGATTGGTTCCAGTAGCTCTTCATCGTGAATTGGCACAAGTTGGAATTCATGGGTAGGCCATTGGATTGGGTTCGAGTGACTTAGTGGTCTACGAGATCGCTAGCCTCGTAGACAGAAGGTCCTGGTTTCAAACCCTGGCGATGGATGTGTACTGATGAAGAGTACCAGACTGGGCTGAAGAAATAGGTAGCTGTCCAGTACTCCTACCTCGTTTTCGAATAGTTCTCTAACCGATATCAGCTCATGATGAAATCCTGTAACCAATCAAATCAAATCCTTGCAAACCAACAGTAGAATCACTTCAACTGACATTATGTTGACCAAAAGACTTGGAACTAAAGGAAGACCAAAATCTAAATCATCTATAAGATAAGGTTTCATCAGCTGTTGCTTTTTCTTTCCTTTGCGTTCCAAATGGAACATAAGAGTTCGAGTTTTAAGTTTCGCTAGTGTTGGTATTGTTTTCAACGGGTAAAATTGCTAGGCTAACATCCAAATCTATGTCCTTTTCTTCTAGGAGAGGACGCTGACAAAATGCAGAGTCTACTGAACACCTTGAGCAACAATCTTCGTATGTTTGGCATGCGATTCGCCCTGTAAAATGTAAGATGATGCTGCAGGATTGGACTTCACAGACCCCTAGATTAGAAATAGGAAGTGAAGTGGTAGAGCACGTTGACCGCTTCACTTACTTGGGAAGTACCATCAGCCCCAAAGGGTTGATCTCCGACGAAATCTCAGCACGAATACAGAGGGCTAGTTTCGCTTATGCCAGTTTACGCCTTCTCTGGCGTAGATGTCGTATCCGGCTATCGACCAAAAGGCGTGTGTACTGCTCAACAGTCCGCTCCGTCCTCCTTTATGGCTGTGGGACCTGGCCATTGAGAGCGGAAGACATGAAAAGATTAGCTGTCTTCGATCATAGGTGTCTGCGTTCTATCTCCCATGTGAAGTGGTATAATAAGGTGAGCAATATTGAGACTAGGCGTCGAGTGCTAGGTAAGGCGGGGAAATCAATCGACGAGACTGTGAAATTACATCGACTGAGATGGTTAGGACATGTGTTACGTATGCCTAGTCATCACCTTCCTCGACGGGCAATGTTAGCTGATATAGGGCCAGGCTGGAAAATGAAACACGGCACCAGTAAATGAAATCTACAACAGTTAGTCTTAGCCACGTAGGAAGATGTAGACTTCCTGAATGGTTGGGGTCCTCGGGACGGTAAAAACCAGTGGTCGGAGACAATTGGTGACATGGCTCAAAATCGTTCTCAATGGCTGGCGCAGATGCATCCACTCCTTGTGACTTATGATTACCAATGAAACTGTTTTGTTCTTCGTTATTACTATTCCTTTGTCTCACACCTCTGTTTACTGTCTATATTATGCATTTTTCCTACTTTCTTCTTTGCTTTGTGTGCTACATGGAGTGTGGCGACTTGAACTGCCGCACATATGTGCAAAGTTCTATGTCGAAAACCGACCAACCGACCGAAATCGATGTCCTTTACTGCTTATTGTCGGCTAGTAAACTAGTGGAGATTTAGGAGTGTGTCAGCCTAGAATGAAATTAGGATCACGTGCGTGACTTACGAGTATTCTGGCATTGAATTATCGATGTACACATCAACAATAAAGAAATCCAGTTTGGTGGAAAAGCGCATCCATTTCATTTTTATATGCATGAACGCTAACTAGCAGTCAAAAGACGTAACATACTCATTCACATCAGTTTATTTGAACAATTATTGACGTAGGAGTTAATTGAAGGATGGTGACTAGTAGTGGAATCCACCGGGATGCGCATTTCGTCCTATTTGGGGTTCGTCATCTGGATGTACCTGCATTTCACAGTTAGTGCTCGGTTCAGTCAGTCGACGAGAAAATCTACAATTGAATTAAATAATTAATAAGACCCGTTGAAGAAGAGGTGGTGGCTCTCGTGGCCCAAGTGGTCGAGTGGATATCGCTTTGGCGTTTGAAACTATAGGCATTAGGTTTGAGCCTCAGTGGGAAGACCATCACTTACTGACTGGGGGAATGCAGGTACATCCGGATGACAAGTTTCAAGGAGGATGACATTCCGCTGCTAGTCACCATCCACCAATTGACTTTAAATTACATGACAAGACATCGTCGCAGCATCTGCACAAGGAACTGACATGTCAATCTGAGACAGAGCACTTCGGTCCATTCAATCGACGGGGAAATCTAAAATTGAATTGAACTTCCTTTAGACTTCTTCTAATGATGTTGACTAGGCATGTTCATCACCCTCATCTTCTCTATATTCACCTGAAGTCCTGTCTTGCATCTTCTTCTTCTATGAACTGGTTGTTTCTCATCCATAGATCTTTGAGTTTATGTGGCATTAGACATAAATCGTCCAAAAAGTTGGGTGTGTTTTTGTCAGATCAATGTCTGCCTACCTTTACACCCCCCACTCTCTGTCGTATAATCTAAACATCAACTGACAGTGAATCACAATAGTGATTGATTGGCTATACATTGGGCCGTAAGGTTCATTCTCTACTGACATTTCAGCTCTTAGTTAAAATACACTACACATGATGTCATAACATGTCACGGGAAGACTTGAGCAAATAACAAATAATACCCTTTGGATACGAGGAAACATAATGGGTGACAGGTTCTAGTCTCAATGAGGACAACCTCACTGACTTCAATAAATATACATCAAGCTGAAGAGTAGTCCTAAATAGTTAGATACGCGCATTCTGGTTCCCACAGCCAACTGAGTAACACTAAGCTATTATATGCGTGCGTATATCGGCATACATAACTGTTCATTTATAATTACGGAATATATACACATTGGATCATAGGAATTATTAAGAAGACAGTTGCAGCGAGGAAAATTTTCTTTTCGACGAAGTCATCAACTAGTAGGCTGTTCATTCATGTATTTATATCAGATGGATGGGAAAGTTCCAGAATAATTTCCGGTTAAGGGTCAAATTAATAAAATTACAATTAGGAATTAAAATGCCATAATAAACAGGGGGAAGGATAAAACTCAAACAACGTAGCATCATAATTACTCAGAAGATTGATATATTGTGCAATTAGGGTTTGAGTACATCGGCCGTATCATGCGCCAACTTGGAACACATGCTCGTGAACATTATCCAGCCTGACTAGTAAAAGGAGAACGAAAACGTGTATATAGTTCAGTGACAGAACATCTGGTCAATTCAGGACATTCAGCGCCATTCGGAAAATCCTTCGAAATAATATACAAGGTTCGATCAAACCTATCAAAGGGAATAAAATCAAGACATCTTGGCAAAGCCGAGGCACCAGCCATCCAAAAGAAATACGTTCAACCCTTGTCCCTGCCATGGCCATCATAAACAGGTAATTCTTTTATAGTGAATATCCCATTGTCTTTCTTATCCAAACTTCCTGTTTATTCATGTTATTTTTAAGTTTTTCTTAATCCCTATTTACACTATCATATTTTCATATCCGAACTTCCTGCCTATTTTGTCATTTTATTATTTCTACATATTTAATCCCCAACTGCATAAACAATTATTCGTCACATTAGTTATGATCCAACTAGATTTTTTTATCCAAACATCCTGTCTATTTTTGTTATTTCTACATTTATAACCCCAATTGCACAATATGTCAATCTTCTCAGTAATTATGATGCTACTTTGTTTGAGTTTTATCCTTCCCCCTGTTTATTATGGCATTTTAATTCCTAATTGTAATTTTATTAATTTGACCCTTAACCGGAAATTATTCTGGAACTTTCCCATCCATTTGTTATAAATACACGAATGTACAGAGATCTAGTTGATGACTCCGTCGAAAAGAAAATTTTCTTCGCTGCAACTGTCTTCTTAGTGATTCATTTATAATTGTAACACACTAGTAAATACTTTGTTGTATATTCTCATCTAAATGAAGTAATGATCTATGAAAAATTCAAATCCCGTCCTACTTATCGACGTCTTGGTAGATTTGTAATATCACTAACCCTCACATTACCAAATGCATAGAAATAGAAGCGGTTGTTGAGTAACCCATTGAAGTGCTCTAAAGTCGATATCATTTCTGGAAAAAGGGAAATACTAATCTCTACAATATCTTACTGAATATATCAAAATCCATCATATTACCACTGTACTTTCTCTTATTTCGGTATCATGGATTGAATATACTAGCACAGCATGTCATCAAGTGACTGATGATAAACTACAGCAGCGCAGTGTAGTGACGTCTTCTCTTTCAACCATTTTTATATTTCAATTACCAGAAAAGCACTAGCCCTAAATTATTATCGTTTACGTCAGTGGTTTGTGGGCAGAATGTTCACTATCCATACAGGAGGAGGAGGAGGTCCAAAAGCAATTCCTGTCATATGTTAGCCGCGAGGCTCGCAACCCACCACCTCCCGACATCACCGTGAAAATACAACACCATGGCTACTGAAACCACAAACAAAGCTTGAGGGCCTTATGTGCAACACACGGAACGCAACGAAATAGAGAGAAGAACACAGATAGAGAACAGTGGTCGTCATCATATAATTCATAACATTCACATTGCTTGCATAATACAATAAATAAGTCAATAAGTCAATACATAAATAAATAAATAAATAAATAAGTTGAATAGTAATATATTCATTCAACTTTATAAGCTAATAAATATACACTAGAAAGTAGTGGAAAACACAGCTGACTGTGAGTAGTATATAAGTTAACTACTACTAGAAAATAAGAGGTAGGCCAAAGTTTGTCTAAGTATCACCTTTCGAGTATAAGGAAAGAACAAGAACAAGAAAAAAAGAAGATAACTGTTATTAATGTACACATATATATCAAGATTTCTGTTATTGTCATAACGATTCATAACTGATGCCCTACTATGTCATCTGTTGAGAGATACGACTAAAATAATAGTAATAATAATAATAACATTGGAAAGACATTGAAGGCCATTTCAGCTGAATAGGTTGTTGAGACAAAAAGCACACACTGAAGCGTAGCAGTTGTTGTTGTCGTAGTAATCGTTGTAGCAGTATAAGGAGAGCAGCGTTAGGCGTGCTTCTATATTGCAGACAACACACTGCTGTCCGAACCCAGGCTCAGTTGAAGTACAGTTAGTTAGTTAGCTAGCTAGTTGAGAAGTAGATAGGCTACAGGAGATTTACGCTGTTCGTTCCATTTTGCGGTTCATTTCAGCTTATAGCTTGGTATACTTGTAGTGGTCGTCGTCGTAGTAGGAGTGGTAGATAGTGTATCTTCAAGAAATGTTAAAACTGTCGCTTCTAAATGACTTTGATGGTTTAAACGATGTCGAGAATTTGGATAGAACTGGTGAAAATAATATAAAAATAAAACAAGAGAGAAAACGGTAAAATATATATTTTTCATGAGAACTGAGATCTCAATAGCATTTTATGTGAAATATTTAAGGATATTACTTAATGTAGTGTGTATTCACTGGAGAGATGAGAATCTAGGCTGCGCCATAATTCAAATGGTAACGACAGAAGACAAGGGCCAGGCAACAGATAGTTTATTGAGAAAATCAACAGATATTTATAGATTTTAATGTACGTTATTATTAGCGTTATTGTTAGCAGAGAACCAACGTCTTCTGATTGGTTGTTTTCCTGTTGAAGGTCATTCTGTCATCTATTTGTTGCTGCTTCTTAGACAGTCCGTTGATATATCTGCTAATCGTATCCGCCCACGCTAAGTTTGCTGTGATTGGTTGTTGAATTCCTCAAGGTTGGTCTTTGTTCTTGTTTTTTTCTCATGACCAAGATTTGGGACGTAAACACTGACGTAAATTTCTGTCTACCAATTTTGGCTAGCAGACAGCTCTCGCCACAAAATTAGCCATCTCTAAACTAATAGTTCTTCTGTCTACCAGTTGGAGTACGAGATACATCTGCCGACAACTCACTATATATATATATATATACCCGCTTCCCTTTAGGGTTCCACTCGAGGGCTTGTCTAGTGATGTCACTTGATGACTTCCTTAGAGTATGGCCAGCTAATCCCCCTCCATTTCTTCCTGCTTATTTGTCTCACAATCGGTTCCTAGTTGGTTCGCTCATCGCCAGAGATCTCTGTTGCTGATCTTTTATGGCTGGCCATCTGATCTTGAGTATTGAGCAAAGACAGCTAGCTGTTGATGAAGGTTTGTAGTTTGTTTGAGATGCTCTTTATGACGCGCAGTGCAAGTCTCTGATCCGTATAGTAGCACTGACTTCACATTGGAGTATATGCCACAGGCTAATGCAGACTTCTATCAACAACTAACTGCCTTCGGAAATTCGATATTGAAAATCAGATGATCCGGTTGGAAAGAAGAAAACAACAACGACGAACTCTGTCAACGAATCAACGAAGACTTCATCGCGCAGCATATAAACACAAGGAGACAGAGATGGATTGAGTGATGTATTATACGTCAGTCAGGCCGTCGAGTAGAATTTGAATGGAGAACTACCAGTTGGACATGGCTTTGAGGGTAATATGGAGGAGATCTAATGAAGGGGAGGGGCAGCAATCGTGAAACCAGCGAAGCAAGACAACAGAGAACAGAGTAAACTGGTGATGTGCTGATTAAGCCCTATGCTCCCCTTTTAAACACCAGGGAATAATAAAAAAAAATAATAATTTAAACAAAATATATTATCACTATTCGCTACTACGGGGTGCCACCAACAATTATACATCTCATCCAATAGATGTACGACAATGCTGCATGCCAAGTAATCCACAACGGGAAACTTACGGAATCCTTCGAAGTGAGGACAGGAGTAAGACAAGCTGGCTGCCTACTATCGCCAATGATTTTTCTGATTGCAGTAGATTGGATAATGCGACAAACAGCGGGCAATGAAGAAGCAGGCATAAAATGGACTCACACGAAAAACTTGGAAGATCTGATTTCCCACAAACTGATAGATATGCAAGCGGAAAGTAACAAGTTGCCAGAAGAAGCATACAGAGAAGATAGGACTTCAGGTGAACATAGAGAAAACAGAAGTGATGAAGATTCCTGGGCAACACCACCAACAGCAACAACAACAACAGACAACAATCAGCATAAATGGAAGGAACCTGAAAGAAACAACCTCTTTTACCTACCTGAGACGCATCGTTTCAACTACAGGCGAGTGGAACTGACGAGGATATCAAAGCAAGAATCAGAAAATCAAGACAAGCATTCACTACTCTCAAGTCTGTGTGGAGGTCAACCGCACTCAGTATCAAAAATAATATCCGGATATTCAACTCCAATGTGAAGTCAGTGCTACTCACTATATGGATCAGAGACTTGCACTGCGCGTCATAAAGAGCATCTCAAACAAACTACAGACCTTCATCAACAGCTAGCTGTCTTTGCTCAATACTCAAGATCAGATGGCCAGCCATAAAAGATCAGCAACAGGGATCTCTGGCAATGAGCGAACCAACCAGGAACCGATTGTGAAACAAATAGGCAGGAAGAAATGGAGATGGATTGGTGGCCATACTCTGAGGAAACAAACCATCAAGTGACATCACTAGACAAGCCATTGCTCGAGTGGAACCCGAAAGGGAAGCGGCGAGTTGGTCGTCAGTGCAAGGTTGACTTGAAGGAGGTCATGTGAAGAGGAGATGCAGGCGTGTGGGCAGACTTGGAGCCAGGTGAAGATTCTAGCAGAGAACCGAACGCAATGGAGCACGCGCGGCTGAAGCACTATGTTCCTCTAGGAATTATAGGGAACAATAATGGTAATAATAATAATATTATCACTATAAAAATATATTTACCTGAAAATGATGCGGTTTACCAGCAGCTTTCAGTTTTCCAATCAATGATGCAGTATGCACAAAGTGGACATTTTCATCTTGCCCACCATGAAATATGTACAAACGATATTCACTTGACGGCATATTCGATACATACTGCATTACATTACCTTTACTGAAAAAAGTAGGAAAAACACAAGAGAGAGAGAGAAAAAAACAAAGTTAAATTGACACAGGTTAATAGTAGTAGTATTCACAAGTCACTAAAGGTTATGCATCATACCAGTGGTTAAATGGTTAATGAGGTCACTTTGTCACTTGACCTTCCTCTGTTTAGTCTTATGGTTAAGTCGGGTATACACGCCTTGATAGATGGAAACAGTAAGTCGTTGTTTCAATAGAATCCTAAGTAACTTTCAAACTGCTGTTTTCGTCGCATGTCAGCACAGTTGCGAGTCTATTGTGACTCACGCTTTTTTCTAAGCATTTAACTCTTTATGGTTGCAGAGAAGTCAATCTTTGTTAAAATAATTTACAAATTATGTATTCATTAGCATCGATATCAAGAATTTTGAATTCTGTTTGAGACAGCAAAATCTTTATTGTGTCAGCAGTCCATATCGATAGTCTCATTACAATCGGCAGCCGGCTTAAAACTTGGGCTACCAAAAACTTCCATCTCTTGCTATTGCATAAATTTTCTCTCGTTCGGTTTGTTTTAATAGATTAAGATATGATTTCGGATGATATTTGCTACTCTCGTGCATATTTAAATTGTTAACAAGCTTCTGATTGGCAGGGTCTTACTAAACTTGAGGAATGGCCTGATTGTGGGTGGCGACGTGTTCCAATACATGCGGTAACTGCTCTTCTGTTAAGTCCTTCGGTTTCAAAATCTTACAATTGGTTTTCAACTGGATATCGTGGATTTCTTGAAGGAAGGAGACAAAACAGATATATATCATAATGGAATGTGGCTTGTGCTTCATCAGCTCAGAGACCATTGTGTCACACACAGGATATACCGTCAATTAATATTTTACTTGAAGATATTGATTACAAGAAGGGAAAACATCATGCAATAAACTCTTTTGAAAATTCCCTACATTTTATAAATACTGTCCAGAATAAAGATGTTATTATTATTGCTTTGATTAGTGATTACAGTGGATAAGGTTTGGCTTGTTAGGTTCATATCACATTCGCATTGTGATAGGTCGTATTACCGGCACTACTGACTGATTATGAACATACAACTTTGTACAGAAGTGCAGCAGTTCAAGTCGCTACACGCCACAAAAGCAGAGAAAAGGAAGAATGAGAAAAGACACTCAAAAGAACTGTAATGAGCCGTAAATGTATGGTAGAAAGAACAGTAGCACTGAAAAACTAATAGTGTTTTAACGGATATGGGAGTTCTGACTGACTGGTTTCAACGTAGGAATTTTCACTGATGTACAGCAGTTCCAGTTGCTACTCTCCCTCCTTGTAACACACATAGCAACAGAAGAGAGTAAAAAAAGATTCAAAACAGAGATAATAAACAGAACTGTGAGTGAGAGAAAAAGAGTAGTAATATGGGAGAACAATAGAGTCTTATTGGATAGTATAAGTTACAAGGAGTGGATGCATCTTCGCCATCATTGAGAACGATTTTGAGCCATACCATTAATTGTCTACAGCCTTCATTGGTGGACCCTAATCAGCCAGTCAGGACTCCTACACATCCCGACGTGGCTGTCTGCCTTTCTTAAACTAACTGTTGTGGATTTCATTGACTGATGAAAACATGTTTACGTTTGACAACCACTAACTAGCTGTTTTCCAACCTGATTCATCCTATGTCAGCTAACATCACCCATTGTCAAGAAAGGCGATCGATGGCTAGGCATCTAGGCGTAACACATGTCCTAACCATCTCAATCGTTGTAATTTCCCGACCACGTCGATCGATCAACTTTCTCTCCTTAGCTAGGACTCGACCGATGCCTAACCTCAATATTGCTCACCTTATTATACCACTTCACATGGGAGATAGAACGCACACATCTGTGATCAAAGACAGCTAGGTAGACTTTTCATGTCTACCACTTTCGATAGCCATTTCTCACAGTCATAAAGGAGGACGGAGCTGACTGCTGAGCAGTACACACGCTCTTTGATCGATAGCCGGATATCACATCTACGCCAGAGACGGCGTAGTTCGCGGAGAGTGAATGTATCTTCGCCATTCGAGAACGATTTTAAACCCCATATCACCAACTCTCCGCAGTCATTGATTCATCAAATCTCGAGAACCCAACCGTGCAGTCTGTACCTCTCTAAGTGACTGAAACCAACTCCCTAAGACTTGATGCATGGAGGTCAAGTTTTTGGTTTAACAACCATTATTTGTTTTCCAACCTGATTCTATGTCCGTTAAAATTGCTCGACATGCGTAACACTTGCTCTAGCTATCTCAATCGATACAACTTCATAACCTCATTGATTGACATACCCTGTTTAAATAAAACTCTACGTGTAACCTCAATACAACTCATATTATATTACTGCATATGAGAGATAGAATGCAAACATATGTGGTCAAAGATGGGTAGTTTTTTTCAGAACTCCCACTTTCAATGGGCATATTCAACATAAATATATGTATAAAACTTGGGAACTGTGGTAGTAATTCCATATTAGTTTGTTTATTAGATATATCACACAGTCAAACGCTATTATTTACTGGATGACACAGTTTCGAACAAAATTTATTGTCCATAATCATTTCATCAATTATAATCACACGACTTCGAAACTTGAGTTTTACTGTTTTCTTTGTTCTCTGCTATTTGTCGTTGTAGGGGGAGTAGAATTTTCTGGATGTCCATGCGGACAGATGCTGATTCGTTCCTATTACACGT